CATGGAAACGGTCCCGGGACACCCCCGGGGCAGCGGGACCCGGCACTGCCGCCGTGTGAGAGAGAAGTCCGGGCTGCGGGGCACGGCGGCCCGGGGGTCCCACTCGGATCTAAGGGAACCGGCCGTCGGGTCTGCGAGCGTTTCCCACGGAGCTCCCCCTGCCTCTGTGCCGGGTGTCACCCGGGATGACAGCGCTGTCAGCAGCACAAGCAGGGCTCCTGCCATCTCACAGAACCCTTCACCCAGCCCTGCCCAAGCAGGGTCACCGGGAGCAGGTGGCACAGGAACGTGTCCAGCTGGGTTTGGAATGTCTCCAGAGAGGGAAACTCCACAGCATCCCTGTTCCAGGGCTCTGCCACCCTCCATGGAAAGTATTTCCTCACGTTGAGGTAGAAGTTTTTGTGGTTTAGTTAATACCCATTTTTCGTCATCCTGTCACTGGGCACTACAAAAAGAGTCTGGACGCATCCTCCTGGCATCTGCCTTGGAGATATTTATATGCATTGTTGAGATCCCCTCTCAGTCTTCTCCAGACCAAACAGGCCCAGCTCCCTTCAGACACTCCTTCTAAGAGATGCTCCGGACCTCAGATCATCTTTGTGGCCTCTGCTGGACCTTCTCCAGCAGCTCCTTGTCTCTGTTGTCCTGAGCAGCCCAGGATGGGACACAGCACTCCGTATGTGCCTCATCAGGGTCAGAGGGAGAGGGCACACTCTTCCCAATGCACCCCAAGACCCCCCTGCCCTCCTGGCCCCCAGGGCACACTGCCAGTTTACAGTCATCCACTAAGACCCCCCAGCCCTGTTTTCACTTGAATGGGACTTTCCTCCCCACTCACCATTATCCTCATTCAAGCACGGTTGACTTTCCATCTGCTCTGGCCTTCAGCCCATGCAGGCTGTGCTGGAACTTCATTCATCCTGGAGTAACTTCACCCTTCAGGTGCCTGTGGGCATCTGTATCTCCCTTCTTCTCATTTGGGTTTTCTTTTGGATTGCATTTTGCAAAGTTTTACCATCTGTGTTTATTTGTTACTCTCTTCAAAAGTCAGCTTTTAATCATCAACAGATATAAATAATCATAAATATTCACTAGAAGCAAATAAAGATAAGTTATGTGCATAAACTGCCCAGTATTTAGAAATAAAAGCTGTCGGAGGAACAGTTATGTTCTCTTCTTATGCATCTACTCTATCAATCACATGTGTGACCAGGAACAGGACTCAGGAATGATGAGCTGTGTCTGGAAAGGGTTAGGCTGGAAAAGGTTCTTCCCCCAGAGGGTAGTGGGACACTGAACACGATCCCCAGGGAATGGGCTGAGGCTGCCAGAGATCCAGGAGCGGTTGGACAAGGCTCTCAGGCACAGAGTAGGATTCTCGGGATATCTGTGCAGAGCCAGAGGTTGGACTCAATGATCCTTGTCAGTTCCTTCCAGCTCAGGATATTATATAATTCAATGATCTATTATTAGGTGCACTGACCAGTGTGTGGTTAAATGATCTGCCTAAAACAAGCAACTGATGAAAAGTCCAAAGTACATTCAAATCAATAAAACTGCACTGGCACAACCAAAAACATGAAGACTGGGGACTGTGACCATCAGGCCCTGCAGAACCAGAGACAAGTGACAGGAACAGACACAGGGCAAGGCTGAGCAGGGCTTGGGAGAACCTTGGGATGCCACAGATGCCACATGGTTCACAGCTGGAGCACAGGTGTGATAGCAGCAGCACAAGAGTTTTCCAAGTGTCACCTAAGCAAGGGAAAAAACCCATGGATTATTAAATGACTGTACACATACCAATGTTGCCTCAGACCGCCAAATTGATGGTTAGTGTAAACCTTTAATTACAGAGGTACAGATGAGTGACACAAAGATTAGGGTGATTGCCAATCCATATGCAGATGTGGTACAGAACGTTTCTTCTATGTTGCCTAAAGAAAAATAGATACATTTAGGAGATATGATAAACAGCAAAGAAGAGCAAGTAGAACAGAAGATGTAAAAGTAATGGGGATACTGGGAAACACCAGTAACAAGATTAGTTTCAGGTAGAACCTCAATTTGAGGACAACTACTTGTGTTTTTTATGATTATTGACCCAACTCAGCAGAAAGAAACAGCATGTTCTACACCACAGAAGGACAGGAAACCTGCACTGCTTCACTGCTTGACACTGAATGGGGTAAATTATGGGTAGATCAGTGCAAGTGTGGGACTAGAGGAAGCCTCTCCGAGCACTGTGTGTAGTTACAGACCCTGCATTTCCAACACATAGGAGCTAGGAATTTCCTGGATGAGAAAGCCAAAATAACTCTTCCTAATTTAAAGACCAGCCAGCAAAGCTTAGCAGAGTACCTGAGCATGGTGCTGGAGCTGTTATTTTCGCTCTCACACAACAGGAACAGTAATTTAACTCCAGCTATGCTACACAGTCAGGTTTTATCCCAAATACCCTAAATTTCAGGCTGTCAAGACAGCATGTTGTTGTCTGTACAACAAATTACTGATTTTCACTTGCTACTTTTTTCCAAAGGTGGCTCCCAATTCCTTCGTGCTGTTTTGACCACTGGCTGACCCCACTAGGTAAAGGTTTTACTCCAGGTAAAGCCAAGACGAAACAGAGCTAATGATACACTACCTGGATTTCTCCATTTTCCAATTGCAATACAATTTTTGTGTTCTTAGCCTAGCATTCACCCATAAAATGTTTATTTTATGGCTTATGAAGGACTATGCAGCTGCTTAGTTTTCGTATTGAAAATATCTTGATGGGTGCCTTATTTAAAAAAAAAAAAATATCTTAACCCATGTTTATATTTCTGCTCATGGTTGTTTCCATCACTGGGATCAGTTATATGGCCTAAATATCCAATTATTTTCAAACCAAGTAACCCGTGGTTAATGTTCCATTAAGATTTCATTTTTTTTAGAGTGATTATTATCTTTAGCAAAGACAATCTGCAAGGCCATTTTAAAGTCGAAAAATCTTCGTACTTTTCAGGGGTCCTTCTACCAAGGTGCACTAAGGACATGATGACCACCACCCCGGACCATCCCACCTGGGGTCCCCGAGCACCCACGGACACCGATGGCCACCGCGGGGTGGGGTCGGGGGATGCTCAGCCGGAGCCCCAAGGGCAGGGGCCGGTTTAGGACCGCAGCGGGTCCGGAGCACCGCGGGGCGGCCACCAGGGGGGACCGGGCACCCCGACACCTGAAGAGCGCTGGCCCCGGTGCCGCAGGCTCGGCGGGGAAGGCACCGCTGGCTCCGTGAGGGGAGGACACGCAGAGGGTCAGCGACAACG